TTTTCAAAAATTAAAAATCTTGCTCGATCACACAAAGAATAGTAACGTGGACCAGATACCAGAAATCAACGGTCTTAAGGCTAAGAAAATGAGAAAGCTGGGCTTCGGGAGGAGAGGAGAAAGGGAAGAAAGTCAGAATTAGTAGGGAACGTAGAAACATAGATTCAGATGCACCATGCCCCCATTCTCCTTCATCACTACTAATAACAGCCTCTACCAAACGTGAATTCAGAGAGGCCCATGTCAAACCCAAGCAGCTGCTGCCTGGAGCTAGGATCCTCTTGTCTTCATTTCACCCTTTGCCAATTTCACAACTCACCGCAACTGTGCAAAGGATTATTTCAAGCGCAGTATAGAGGAAGTAGTGTGGGTGTTGTTTAATGTTCTGCCATTAGTTCTACGCACAGGCTGTTCAGCCATGTCAGTGTCTGCCCCAGCACTCAGGTGCTGCAGTTGGTGGGGCGGGGGGTGGGGGGGGGGTCGAGGTGGGTGGTGGGGAATGGGGCTGTGGCAACACCTGGTTTGTTTTTCATCTCTACACCTGAATCCTCAGCCCAGTATTCAGCAGGTTGAGTCTCTGTTCCTGTGTATGTGAGCCCCCAGCCAAGCCTCAGCTTGGCTCAGTTGATGGCACTCTTGCCTCTGAGTCAGATATTTGTGGGTTCAAGCCCCACGTCAGGACTTGGAACTCTTATTGTCCAGACTGACACTCCAGTGTTTTGTTGGGGGTGGGGAGGTGGCAACGTTGGAGGTGCTGTCCTTCAGATGAGACGTTAAACTGAAGTCCCTTCTGTTCTTTTTCTGTGGACAGATAAAATTGTCCACTCACTTCACAGCTGGTTTGTGGGACATTGTTGTTTTCAAACTGGCTGCCGTGTTTGCCTACAAATTACATAGTGAATCCCGTGAAGCGCTTTGAGATATGAAAAGCCATGTATCAAATTGCAAGGATTACATTTTTCGAAAAATCCCTTTTTTTTGTAAAACTGATTTGTGAGTTGTCAGGAACATCGCTCATTGCTTCCTTCAACATGCCTGGTTTTCTTTCTCTTGCTCGCTGTCCCAGCTGAAATCAACTAACTCTGACCTTAACTCAGCACAGATCAGGATCCAAACCTGCAATCTTCATACCTATGGCCGAGCAGTCTCTTGGCACAACAGTTCTGCAGATAAAACGGTCATTCGCTCCATGACTGTTTCTGGGATCTGCACACAAAATGGCTGCTGCATTTGTCTATGTCTCAAAACTCCGCGCAGGGAATTGCTAGCAACAACAACGATATTCATTTATATAGTATCTCAGAGTACTTAACACTGGCAGAACTCAGCACCAAGCTAGGGAGAAAATGTCTCCAGGTGCGATCTGAATACAGGCAAAGAGGCGGCAAGGCGGTGGAACTGAGACAGAGAGTGCCATAGTTTCGGGGCACAGTGGGTTTTCACGACCACCGATGGTGGAGTGGAGGGACATGCAGAAGACAAGAGTCGGCTGAATGAAGGAGACAGCTAAACAAGAAAACACAGGAGGGAAACTTGCTGTTTCCTGGAAGATCAGTTGATAAAGCATTTAACTGAATGATGCAACGCTATGCCTGTGCTGTCTGCGTATTACAGTAAAAATGTGTAAGCTGCAATGTAATCCTGTCACCAGGCACCCCACGTAGAGAGGAGACAGCATCAACCAGTCTCCTCTTTATATACATCACATAACAGGGCGCTGACTGCCACACACGTCACGTCACTTGTGTTTTCTTTTAAAAACCTTAATTTTTGAATGATATGTTTCCTCTCCCTTCCCTTCCACAACACAGCCCTAAAGCTGGGCAGACCAGATCATTACAAGGTCAATCTCTATTCTGTGCCAAGTCATCCGGTCTCAACTGCTACAATCAGCCTCTATACTTCCTGCTTCTCCAACCCCACTCCTCCACCACAGTAAATTCAGGCTTGCTGACTGTCCCCATTCTCTCCAAATCACCATTTATGGTCAAGCTTTCAGCTCCTATGTCCCTAACCTCTAGAACTCTCTCCCTCTACCCCTCCATCTCGCATTCTCTCTTTCTGTCTTAAATCCCTCCTCAAAATGTAACTCCTCGAACATGCCTGTTGTCCCTCCCCCCATTCCCCCTCTGCCGCCTCCACATCCAACATTATCCTTGTAAGAATATAGGAACATAACAATTTGCTAAGGGAATTACATCAAGACCTGACTATGCCATCCAGTTCACCTTCCACCATCCTGCCAGTCGCTTGCACATGTTATGACCCAAACTATATACTGTATCCCCAGATATTATTTCCTAGCATAAATCTATCCAATTTGTTCTTGAAATAATCAACACTTTCTGCCCTAGGGAGCCTGTTCCATATGTTTACTACTCGCTCACTGAAGTAGTGTTTGGGAGATTTGTTCTGAATTTACCCCTCTTCAATCGCAGGCCATGTCCGTTGGTTTTACTGTTCTGGACAAGATAAACAGCTAGGTACCAGAGAATGCTAGTGGAACGATTCCCTGTACACCAACTTGAAGCACTGAAATAGCACTTTCACATAGGCTAAAATCTCAAAGTGCTTTGACAGAAAAATGACAATACTGAGCTCCAAGAAGGTTTTTTTTTGGAGATTTGATCAAAGGCAAGACTATATTGTTGAGGAGTTTGAAGGGAAAAAGAGGGAGTAAGGGAAAGGGCTTTTGTGTGAGAGGGCCAGGAATTGAGAGGTGCTGTGACTGAGGTCTTGGTGGCCAATGTTGGTAAGGGAATGGGAACGGATTTGGACGAGCAGATAGTATGAACAGGAATACAGTGAAAGGCACTTGTAGGGTACTCTGGGATGTAATCCCACATGAAGGACAGTATATAAATGCAAGTTGTTGTTGTTGGTAGGAGACAAAGCCACCAGGCTCCCCTTCAATAGCTGTCTAGTGATGACCCTTGCTGGAACATACCCATATGTAGACATTGTGCAAGGCTTGGCTGTAATATTCTCACCACTGTCCCCATCGGCAAGTCAAAAAGCTTGCTGTCAGTCACTATTTGCACTCTGACACACAAAGAATAGCAACTTGGACGAGTTACCAGAACCAATTTATAACCTGAGTTCAGTGTATTCAGAAATTGCATTGAAATGCTGGGATCGTCATCCCTTTTAAAGCCCTTTAAGTACATTTCAACTTGATAAGGCACTATAAATTGCTGTGTGCAAATTGGCTGCCGCGTTTGCCTGCAAACTCATAGTCACTGCACTCAACCGAAGAAGTAGTGAGTTCAAGCCCCACGTCAGGGCTTTGAACTCTCACAGTACATGTTGACAGTCCAATGCAATGCATGAAAAAATAAGAGGGGGGGGGAATACGGGAGGGGAATAAGAAAGGTGTAGCTCAGTGGTTAGAGCACACGCCTTGCAAACGAGAGACCTGGGCTTGATTCTCGGCAGAGCGAAACGTTGGACAAGTTTCCTTAATCCACATGCCTCTGTTTACCTAGCAGTAAATAGGATGTGCTAGGTATGCATGTGGCACAATTTAAGTCGAAATGAAAGAAAGTTCATCATTCTCATTTTTTAGGGTCATGCGGAAACCCATCACTATGCTTAATAGTATCCAAACCAAACTGAGAATTCCATGCATCCCACCTACACATGGAAATTCCAGAGACAGATTGCTAGAATGGAATGTGCACTCTCTCCTGGAGGAATGCATCCTGCTTACCTTAATCCAGAAAGTATTAGGCACAGGTTGGCAAGAGCCCAGGCTTGGGGACCCCAGAGTTGGGGTACTGCTGGAGTCTAACCATTTAAACCCGCATAGCTTACCATCGATAGCACTTTTTGGCAAGCTTTCCTGCTGTTTGCCCAGCTAGGACCACCCTACGTGTTAAGGCTTTCGCTTGCGGGATTAACAGGAGCTGTGCAGAAGGCTTACCTGCCCCTCCAAGTCCTGCTGATGAGCCATTAGCGCTGTCATCAGCAGTGCCCTGGAGTGCTGCAGACTCGCCCGGCTCAGGAACTGGATTACCAAGACCATCACGGAGGGTTGGCTCGATTCTGATATTCTGTTGCCAGACACATCACCTTGGAGCCAGTTCAGCTCCAACGAGACCCCGCTTACCTCCCCCACCCTCACCCCCAGCGGGATATTCAAAGATCATTCTCATGAACACTTTTCAACAAGACTGTAAAAAAAAAAGGAAAATAACCTAGAAAGCAACAAGAAGAAGGCACCAGAACCTCAGAACCTCTCTTTGCTCTGTCCTCAATAAATGGGCTGCTATGTTCAACGCCTGGATTTGAAAATTAACCCTTTCTCAGCCACAGTGGATGGAACCCCCGAATTCTCATAGGAACCTGGTACCAGATTTCTGAGATGAGACACTTAACATGGTTTTGATGTGTGGAAACAGGAAAGCTTGGCCTAGGGAAAGCTTCAGAGGCAGAATCAATAGGGATCAACCGAGAATGGGGTAGTGGAGGTATTAACGGTTTAAGATGAAAGGACAGGTCATTGGGATTAAAACCTCTTCCTGTTTCTGTTCTCCTATGTTTTTCAGCACATTGAGTAAGCTTTTCAGAGCTGAGACAAGTATTTCTGCAACATGTTCGATGATGACAATATTCGCTGCAGTCTATGGTTTTAGAAGAAAGGACTGGAGTATAGCAGTGATCATCCACTGATGGTGCAGAGAAGGAAGAGTGGTGCACGTAATAGCCCACAGTCAGAGAAGTGGAGAAAACAGAATTCAGGGTGGAATGTAGAGCTGGCGGCAACACAGGAAGGATGAGACGAGACAGTGGAGGGATTTGAAGAACTAGAGCAAGGATCTTGAATTTGGTCCTTCAACATATTGGGGGCCAGTGGAGCTTAACAAGGATGAGTGAAGGGTTGTGGGCAATAGAGCTCAAGTTCCAGAGGCTCTAGATCAGTTAAAGATTCTAGGGATCAAAGTTATGGTGTGTTGGGTTTGTTATTGTGAACCATGTCACAAATGCTGCCCTGTACATACCCGCTCCTGGCCCGCTGTGTCCCAGATGAGAAACTTATGCAGCTCGTTTCCACAGCTCACGGTCTTGGTCATGAACGATGCCCTGAAAGGGAGACCATATCAGAGGAGAGATCAGATTCACAAGGTCACAAAAGAGGTTCATTTATCTCATCCTTCCAGAATGCCTACTCCATTGCAGCATCAAGCTTCTGAAATGAGTCCTGTATCCCAACCTTAACCAATTGTCCTGATGATAACCCCCATTCCAGTTGTTAATCATCCTCTGGATAAGAAATAATTCCTGGTGTCTGTCCTGAAATTACCATTTACAACCCTGAACTAATGCCCTCTTGTAATGACGGCTTAACATATCTGCAAGTATTGTTCCGAGTTTACTTCCTCAATCTCCATTTCAAATCTTACACCCCTCAGAAGATCTCCTTTGAGACGTCTCTTCTACAAACCAAGATACCAGGGAACTGGGAAAGCAGTAGAACTGTCCATGCGTATTGTGTACTCACCCAATGGTAGGGAGAGCGTTGAGGTCGAAGATATCTTGGACAAAGCGGCACACAATGCTTGATTTGCCAACCCCTGTGTCCTAAAAGGATTGACAGAGATAAGTACAGTTACGTATAAGAAGAACATCATAGCAATTTTACCCCCCAGAATTACCCCACGAGACATGGCGACATATAGAAGTCTACCTAGATGTGGGCCTTGTTTTTATAATGGATGTTCCTCTATCATAAATGAGCAATTAAAAACATTGACTCATGATAGATATTGTTTCATAAATAATGAAGAAATCTGCAATTGCAGGAGAGTTTAGATGGAGAAATTCCTTTGAAATTTCATCTGATCTCACGGGTCATCTCTGGATTACCGGGTTGCACTGTATGACTTGGCAACTCACCATTTCAACAGGTGGAGAAGGTTGTCAATTCTAAAAGCCCCAAGAGAGTGAAAGCAAAGATGACTGAGAACAAAAGGAACGGTGACCTGAAGGTATGCATTGCTTTTCTGCTTCATCTGCATTCTGGCCACTTTTGATGGTCCAATTATTTTGTAAATTGCACAGATTTGGTGGCTTTCGAAAATCTCAACAATGTACATGTGTGCATGTAAGTAGAGGGTAGGATGTATTTGTGCACATGTGTGTGTGAGCACGTGTGTGTGTGTGCACGTGCACGCAAGGGTGTGTGTATGTGTGCTCAGGCGCTCACGTGCAAATGTGTGTGACAATGTATGTTCACTAGTTGCTCTCCTTTTCTACTGCACTGCGTCTAATCTGCGGTGTCCCTGACCTGGAAAATGGAAGACTGTTCCATTTATCAATATCTCTCCAGTTCTCTGTAAAAAGACAAAATATTTTCCAAAACAAAATGTGGATCACATGGCTGACAATGTCTGAATGTCCTCTGCTGGACTTATTATAATCTTTGCATTTGATATAGCGCCTAATCATGTCTCAAAGTGCTTCACAAGACATACTGTTTAGTGTTGTGTCCATGAATTTTACAGGCGAACGCAGTAGCTAATTCCACCCGGCAATGTTCCACAAACAGTTGAGAAGTGAATGGCCAATTTTATCTGGGGAACTGTTGGCCAGGACACAGGGAGAAACTCTTTCCTCTTTTCAAATACAATCATGGGATCTTTGAAGTCCACCTAAACAAGCAAACAGTTTACTGTCTCATCCAAAGGACAGCAGCAACAACAATCCAATGTTCCTCCTGCACTGCACTACAGCCTCAAGGAAGACTATGAGCTCAAAGTCTCGACGTGGACTTGAACCCACAACCTTAATCTTAAGGCACTAAAGTGAAGACCGGTGCCTGCAATGTCTGCTTTTTTTGATCCCAAAAACATCCAAGTGCTAATAAAGACTGAATTAGTAGGTGCTGCCACTTCTATGTGTACACATCACCCCCACTACCCCGTATCCATCAGCACGCAAGCCATGCTTTCAACACATAGGTCATGCCATCATCTCCTCCAACATATAGGTTAGACTTCTGGCAGCACATTCCTATCTACTACCGTCAACACATAAATCACGTGCCCCCATCTCCATCTGCTCACACATCATACTGGTCACGCTCCCTGTCAGCACATTTGTCAAACAGTGCTCAGTTGGTGCATCCTTAATACTTTAAACTAGAGGTGGTAACAATTTTCAAGATACACTCTTCTGAGCCGGATTGGAGACAGTAAACAGCTCTTTTTCTGCAGTTTTATAATCATCGTCGTCATCATAATAATTTGAATGCAACAAAAACAACAACAACAACTTGCACTTATATAGCACCCTCCATGCAAGGTAGGATGTCAGAGCATTTAACAGTGGTGGAGCCTAACTCCAAGACGGGGGGAGTGGGAGGTGGCCGTAAGCACAGTCGAACAGGATAGTTATCAGGCGGGACTTGAAAGAGGGGAGAGAGGGGGCAAGGCGGAGGGATTGAGGGAAAGTGTTCCAGAGTTTTGGGGTGTAGTGGCTGAAAGCACAACCTCCGATAGTGGGGTAGAAGGTGCGAGAGACGTGCAGGAGGCCGGTGTCAGTCGAGCGGAGGCTCCGGGTGGTGGATGGGGAATGAGGAGGTTGGAGAGGTAGGGAGGTGTCAGGGAGTGAATGGATTTGAACACAAGTGTGAGGAGCTTGAAGTTGATCCATTCTGTGATGGGGAGCCAATGGAGCCTGGCCAGAACTGGTGAGATGTGGGTACGGAGTTTGTTTGGGTCAGTATGTGCGCAGCAGAATTCTGAATGAGCTGGATAGCTAATAATATTCCTTGCATTTAATATAGCGCCTTTCAAGTCGGGAAGAGTGCTTCACAGGATTTACTGTAAAGGGTAGCAATTGAGTATTGGTCGGCAAACATGGCAGCCAATTTGCAAAAGACGGCAACTGTGACAGTGCAGTGCTCCCCCAACGCTGGAATGGAGTGTCAGCCTAGATTTTGTGAGTACAAAGTCCTAAAGTTGGGGATGACCCCACATCCTTCTGATTCAGGAGGCATGATTGCTATCAACTGAGCCAGTAAAGATACAGTAAAGTGTGACAATAATTTTGAGAAAACCTTTATCTGATGGGTTGATGGGTTTTAATTTTAGGTATTAGAGGCCACTTGGCCACTAACACAAGTTGGTCTATGTTTCGTCTGTTTAATCCAAGTCTCCGGCTCATTCCCATTCCGATTCAACCTATGTCAAACAGCTCAAGACCTCTTTGAGACTGAAACCAAATGTTGAACAAGAAAGGCCATTTATGAGTTATCAGCTCACTCCATCCCTAGAGAGTGGGGTCGATCGCGGGGTAGAGAGGAACACTGTTTACTGTCAAGTCGAAAGCACAGTAGTTATCTTGAGTTATCTGTCATTATTTTTACTGAAGAAATCTGTTTTGAACTAACTTGAAAAACTCCCCCTGAATGTCTAATGATGTTTTCAGCAGGAGATATGATCTGTGGCCCAGTGGATTCTCACTTCATTTTCTAGCAGAAGCTGTAAGAGTCTCGGGGGAGATAAAGGTCACGAGAAATTCTGATGAAGATGAGCCTTTGGCCCATTTGTTCTCATTGCTCCTTACCATCCTCACTAATTAACAGCATCAAATTGTTTCTTAAACAAGACCATTGCCCTGGTCTCAATCAACCTCTCCAGTACCTCATCATAGTTTTTCATTGCCCTCTCTTGAATAAAACACTTCCTAGTGTCTGTCCTAAAATTGCCTTCTACAACCCCGAACATATCCCCTCTCATCTCAATGCCTTGGTGTATCTGAAACTGTTTCAAGATATTTTATAAAGGTCCCTCTGAAACATCTTATCGATGCTAAAGAGCCTCCCTCTTATTTCACCCATTTAACTCTGAGGATATGGCTCTCCTTTGGATTCTCTCTTGAGGCCTGAGCTGCCACATAATGTCACAGAGAACTATGTATACTATTCCAGCTGTGGACTGACCAGAGCACTGATCAGCATGAGCATGACTTCTGGGAATTTGAACTCAGCTGATTTGGCAATGCAACCCAGGATCCTGCTCATTTTGTTTATTGCTGCCTCGCATAGTTTAAACATGGTGAGCAACCATAACGAACCCATGGTTCATTAAAGCACTGGCAGATCACAATGGTGCTTTTGCATCATGATGCTGCTGCTGGAAGGAGCTTTAGCAAAGGACAGGTTAGTCAGACACCTATAAAGTGTATTTCCAGAATTAGAATTTGTTTGAAATTACTGCAAAGGCAAATAAAACAAATTGGTCATTCACTCCATGGCTGTTGTCTCAAGACCCTCCTCTTCGACCTTGCTTTCTGTCACCCTCCTATCCCTACCCTCCCCGCCCTCCACCCATCCTGATCTCAACCACCAGCTCGGGTGCGGATCCCTGACTGTCCAGCGCCTTGGTACGTTCTCCTCGTGAAAGGCGCTATATAAATGTAATTTGTTATTGTTGTTTACGCGATATGGCTGAGTGCAAAGGACCTGCTACGTTCTCCTACAAAACACACAGTCACTACACTTTACAGCATATTGTATATCCTATAGAGCGCTTTGAGATATCCTCCCGGGGTATCTAATGTACAACAAAAATTTGCTTGCATTTAAATGGCTCCCTTCCCACAGGATAGCGTCTTGGAGCGCTGTACAGTGGTGAGGTTAGACACTGAATGTGAAGTTTATTATAATCACCAAGATGTCAGGACCCAGCCTGAGGTTGTGAAATTGGTTGACTCTGGCCTAAAATCTGTTTCCTCTTTCACAAATCATTTCTATGAGAAATTGTAATACAAGCAGTATTCAGAGAAAACACTTCCTTAATTTAAGACAAACCTATAGAAGGACAAACAGGGCAGGAAGAACAAATTGTGGAAGAAATAAAGTGTGGAAATAGTGGGTGACACAGTATTTGAGTCCGACGCAAATTGTAAACCCAGAGTCTCCACTCCACACCGCACTTACAATGAATGTGGGGGAAATGTTTCACACTAAAAACCACCAATGCATTACACAGTGTGTGAGATTTAAATATAGGATGCAAAATCAGGCTTGGTGGTTTAACCAAAGTATAAATCACTGAAAACACTGACTCAAAAGGCAGAGGTAATGACACCCTATAGGCCAATACCTTTTCGTCCTCTCTTGGCCTATTTTGTGTATGTGGATCCGGACGTGTGTGTTTTTTCTGCAAGGAGGATTATGTATTGTTTGACATATTACGTTTGGACCAAGTGTTGCCAATTGCATTAAAAATTCACTGTGGTGCAGGTCCGTGGTACACTGTGCTATGCACCTTTCTTGCTATGATGAGGTTGTGTTATTGGGATGAAGGAGAAAGCAGCAAGTTAACACTGAAGTGTAATAATCCCTGCAAAACCTCATCACATCACCGAGATGTGTTAAAGCACTTCACAGAATTTACTGTAAGCGCTACGAGATGCTAACCCAGATTGAAGAGCAATATATAAATTGAAGTTGTTGTTGTTGTGACTGTTTACTTTGATTGCTGGTCATGAATCATAAAATTATACGAATCCTACAGCACAAAAGGAGGCCATTCGGCCCATCATGCCTATGCCAGCTCTTTGAAAGAGGTATCCAATTAGTACCACTTACCCATTATCTCCCCATAGCCTTGCAATTTTTTTTCTTTTCAACTCTATATGCAATTCTCTTTTGAAAGTTATTATTGAATCCGGCAGTGCATTCCAAATCGTAACAAGCCAAAGGTGGATCCACGGTGCACCCGCCATATTATAATAATCCTTGCATTTGATATAATAATAATAATAAATCTTGCATTTGATATAGCGCCTTATCACGTCGCTGAGATGTCTCAAAGCGCTTCACAGGATATACTGTAAAGTGAATTGACTGAGTATTTTGTGGGCGAAGTGAACCCACCTTATAATAGGGTTGCCCCATACCTCATTGTCTTAGCCTTGAGACTTTTATTGTGGTCAGCCGGGTGAACAACACACACACACAGAAATCCATCACCATGCTTAAGAGTATCCAAGCCAAGCTCCTGAGAGTTACACATATTTATGGAAATGTCCTTGTCTTAAAAATCATGGTCTTAACAATTTAAGATCTCACAAATTATTAGAACAGTCTGGCCCCATTAAAGAGCTCAGAGTGATAACCCGCATGAAGATCGATATATAGATCCCAGGCGTTGTTGTTTAATGCAAACCTTGGATTATCCTCCCAATATGAAAAGCACACAGAGCAAGCAAATCCATCACCATGCTTAAGACGAGAGCTTAAAGCCAAACTGAGAGCTCCACATGTTTGATTTGGATAGCTTTTTTAAAAGAGCCAGCACAGACACGATGGACCGAATGGCCTCCTTCTTTGTTGTATAATTCTATGTGCATGCCTCCTACGCTTGAAAATTTCCCTAGAAAGCACACTCGCACCCCAAAGAGACTCACCTTGCTTACCTAAATCTGGAGAGTATTAAGCATATGTTGGCGAGAACCAAAGTGGCTGTGAGTGGGGGAGGTGTGCGGGGGCGGTGGGGGGGGGAGATGCCCCCAGAGTATCTTTTGGAGGTGTTGCTGGAAATTAACTACAGTTTGTCATTGAGCGCACGGTCTGTCCAGCTTTAGGAGATGCTCACACACCTCTGTCTGACCAATGCTCACAATGACCAATTCACTCTTCACCACCGAGCACTGCACAGCGCACACACTTAATATCCAGTCCAGTCCTTTAAACCAGAGTGACTCTTATTCTTAACAACAGACTGACAAAACGGGTCAGAAAACTCTTCCACATCTTTGTTCGAAATTGCTTTTTTAAAAATTACGTATTTAACCAAAAACGATGCCTTAAACTCCTGATAGTTTTCCCACTTAAAAACACACACACACACACACACACACACACGTGTCTATTGCAAACAAAATATTTTTCAAGGGAGGTGTGGGAGAGGAGAGGGGAAGAGAAGCAGAGAAACGAGAGAAACATTTGAGTTGACGTTGGAAAAGAGGCATTGCAAATACAATGCTGAAAGAGATTTCTTCCTTAACTTTTTTTTGAGGGGAGAGGGTGGGGAGAGAAAAAAAAGAGGAGTTAATGCTTCATTGGGAGACTTTAAAGGGACAATGCAGAGAGAGATTTCCTTTAAAACTTTTTTTTGGGGGAGGAGGGGGGGGGAATGGGGAGGGGAGAAAAGGGGGTTAAATGTCTTGTTGGAGACTTTAAAGGTTGCTGATTGACCGACTGCAAGGTCCTCGAGAGGGACAGGGCAAACAGCTGGCTGGACAGGGCAAACAGCTGGCTGGACAGGGCAAGCAGCTGGCTGGACAGGGCAAAGAGCTGGCTGGACAGGGCAAGCAGCTGGCTGGACAGGGCAAACAGCTGGCTGGACAGAGCAAACAGCTGGCTGGACAGGGCAAACAGCTGGCTGGACAGAGCAAACAGCTGGCTGGACAGGGCAAGCAGCTGGCTGGACAGGGCAAGCAGCTGGCTGGACAGGGCAAGCAGCTGGCTGGACAGGGCAAGCAGCTGGCTGGACAGGGCAAGCAGCTGGCTGGACAGGGCAAACAGCTGGCTGGACAGGGCAAACAGCTGGCTGGACAGGGCAAGCAGCTGGCTGGACAGGGCAAGCAGCTGGCTGGACAGGGCAAGCAGCTGGCTGGACAGGGCAAGCAGCTGGCTGGACAGGGCAAGCAGCTGGCTGGACAGGGCAAGCAGCTGGCTGGACAGGGCAAGCAGCTGGCTGGACAGGGCAAGCAGCTGGCTGGACAGGGCAAACAGCTGGCTGGACAGGGCAAACAGCTGGCTGGACAGGGCAAACAGCTGGCTGGACAGGGCAAGCAGCTGGCTGGACAGGGCAAGCAGCTGGCTGGACAGGGCAAACAGCTGGCTGGACAGGGCAAACAGCTGGCTGGACAGGGCAAACAGCTGGCTGGACAGGGCAAACAGCTGGCTGGACAGGGCAAACAGCTGGCTGGACAGGGCAAGCAGCTGGCTGGACAGGGCAAACAGCTGGCTGGACAGGGCAAGCAGCTGGCTGGACAGGGCAAACAGCTGGCTGGACAGGGCAAACAGCTGGCTGGACAGGGCAAGCAGCTGGCTGGACAGGGCAAACAGCTGGCTGGCAGGGCAAACAGCTGGCTGGACAGGGCAAACAGCTGGCTGGACAGGGCAAGCAGCTGGCTGGACAGGGCAAACAGCTGGCTGGACAGGGCAAACAGCTGGCTGGACAGGGCAAACAGCTGGCTGGACAGGGCAAGCAGCAGCAGAAAAGCAGCCCAGAAATACAAACAAAAAAAAAAGACCCCTCTCTGTGTTTGCAACATCGAGGAGAGGCAGAGAGAGAGAGAGAGAGGGAGAGAGAGAAGGAAGGAAGGAAGGAAGGAAAGAAAGAAAGGAGAGGGAGGAAGGGAGAGGGAGGAGATGGCAGTGAAAGCTGGGGATCTGGGTGTGAAGTCGCAGCAAAGTCCTGACAGCTCCCAGAGCCATGAATGGACTGGCAACAACTTTTGAGAGCATCCTGATCTCCAAACACCACCAACTCCTCCACCACACACACACACACACACACACTCTCTCTCTCTCTCTCTCTCTCACACACACACACACCCCTACACCACCCCCCCAAAAAAAAAAAAAAAAAATCTCACTAAATTTGTGTTCGAAACTCACCCCCAGGAGGCAAACTTTTAGTTCTCGAATAGCCATGGTGTGGTTCTGGAGTCAGGAAGCCTTTGTCATTGCTGATCCCACTTTGTGATTTCACCAAATTCTGGCACTTAAAAAAGAAAAAAAAAAGCCCCCACACACACACACACACAAAAAAACACCCCCCACCCCAGCACCAGAAAAAAAAACAATACAACTTCCTCTCTTGATCTCAGAGAGAAAGAGAAACACACACACAGAGAGAGAGAGAGAGAGAGGGAAGGAAGGAGGGAGGGAGAAAGAAAGAAAGAAAGAAAGAGAGAGAGAGAGAGAGAGAAATCCCTTGCTACCAGTCTGGTTTCCTCACTCAGAATTGAACGGAAACTATTCAGTTAACAACACGAAATGACACCAGTCACATGATTTACACACTTGGCATCTCCTGCAAGTTGTGGTCGAGGCAGTTTTTCGGTTGTTTCTTTCTTTGGGAAACGTAACGACCATCGCAATCGTCACCGTAACAATCCCTGCGTTTGATGCGGCGCCTTTCGCGTCTGCGGGACGTCTCGACGATCTCACGTTGGGTTACGGCTAAGTCGGAACGGTTCGACGTACGCTCATACCGGAGTGATTGTTCCTCAGAGATGTGCTCCGTTTGTTGCCGTATCCTGTTTGTTTTTATTTTGTAAGGGATGCATTTCCTACACCAGTTGCCAAGTTTGCTTACGAATGTACAATATTGTTTATCAAATAACAGGGAGAAAACCTTTTTTTTCGCGGGCAGAGCTGGACGATTGTGGCTTCAAATCCCATCACATGAGACAGTACACTCATTAAGAGGTCTCCTCTGCCTGTACAGGTAGTAATAATAATCCTCGCATTTGATATAATAATAATAATAATCCTTGCATTTGATATAGCGCTTTTCATGTCTTCGAGACATCTCAAAGCGTTTCCCAGAATATACTGTAAAGTGAATGGACTATAATTTTCTGGGCAAAATGTGGCAGCCAATTGCGCACAGCAGTGTCCCACAAACAGTCGTGAACATTAAAGATCTCATGGCGCTATTCAAAAAGGCAAAGGAGTTTCTCCCGTTGTCTTGGCTAACTATCGTCCAGTTAAGTTGATCACTCGCCTCATGGCTGTTTGTGGGACATTGCTGTGCACAAATTAGCTGCAGTGTTCACCTACAAAAATGCACAGTCATTTCACTTTACATTTGTTATTGTGAAGCGCTTTAAGTTGTTTCAATATGATAAGGAGCTATATCAAATGCATAGTTTATCATTACTAGCAATGTATTTGTGCCCGTGCTAACTTCTCCACTGGATCTAGGTAGCTACTTCACTTTAATTCCATTCATCTGCTCTTTCTCTGTAATTTTTTAAATTGCTTTTTGAGTATTTGTCCCAATTCTCTTTTAAGAGCTGTTATGGACATGTATTCAGCTTCAACAGCTATTTGTGCTAAGGCGTTTCATATTCCTAACAACCACTAGAAAAATAAAATAAAAATGTCTCCGAATTTTATTCTAATGATAATCCTAATAGGAGGTTGACAACCTGAAGAGAGCTTTATAAAGCGCAAACACAGAGTTATTGACTTGTTTTTTTTTAAAATCAGCCTTGGAGATAACACACTATTTTACTATCTGTGCGCAATGATTTAGTTACCATGTGTCTCTCAACTCACATCAATTTAAGGGATGGGTCTTATTGGTGGTAAGAAATAACATCAGCTTAAAATTACATTGTTGCCAGCAATTGACACAGTCTTATTTACTCTGTGTACTGATTGAGGGATAGCAATGTTGTCGGATGTAGGGGAAATGTGGCTGAGGCAGAACTGGTCCTATTTGGTGCTGTGGCCCACCACAGCACACCCGAGGCTATGCCCCTGGATGGGCCGAACGGCCTTCTTCATCCAAACCCAATTTTGTGACCTCCCCATTCAGCTGCTACATATGTGCACCGCCACTAAAGGGCGCTGCGGAGGGACCAGCGCCGGATGATTTTAACCTCCCTAAACCTTGGAAAGTCTCGGACCAGCAAACTCAAAACGGACTTGGACTCGAACCAGCGAGCTCCCAGGCCGTAAGTTACAGCTCTATCCACTGCACCACCAGGATGCCCTGACATCCTGCGATTCTATGAAACTTTCAATGTGAATTCCAAGTATGCTTGTCCCAAACGTAATAATAATAATCCTCACATTTGATATAATCATAATCCTACATGGTAAAATTATAACAATAATAATAAAGCGCCTTATCACAACGTCGAGATGTCTAAACGTGCTTCACAAAGTATACCGATAAGTAAATTGTGGGTGAAACCCGGCAGCCAAATGCACACAGCAGTGTCCCACAAACAGTTGTGGATTAAGTGACGAAAATATTATTATTGGCTAAAAAATGGATTCCTACTTACTGCTAGGTAAACAGAAATGTGTGGAGTAAGAAAACTTAAGGTTTTGTCTAAGGTTTCACCCTGTCCAGGAATCGAACATGGGTCCTCTCGCTTGCGAGGCTCTCTGAGGCTCTGAAACGCCATCCGGTGTGGAGGGCGCTATATAAATCCAAGTTATTGTTGTTGTTGTTGGCACATGCTCTCTAACCAATACGCTACAGTACTCCACTTAAACTTTCAACCAAATCAATGTGCAGACCCCTGTGTGTCTTATATATATTCTAAAGAAACACTAAGACCAGTTATTTTTTAACTGCTTGTTCTGAACGGGTAGTTAGTCCTGTTTGTCTGATCGGGAGGTTGTGTGTCTATTCTCTTCCTAACTAAACTGCATTTTGTACATGGCACTCCACCACACTCTGCACTCTGGTGCCAAGGTATTGTCAGCATCTTAAAAGCATTCCAAAAGGATTTGCTTCACACTTCATCTAACAGACTCCTTACGGATTAAATATCTTCACTGCAGGTGTCAGCCTGCTCAGTTAGTAGCACTATTGCCTTTGTATCAGAGTGTTGTGGATTCTATTAGTCATTAGGATTTTGGCCTCACAGCCGAGGCTGACGCACTAATGGAGCACTGCAAATTTGGAGGTGTTGTCCTTTGGGTGAGAATTAAAACCGAGGTCCCGTCTGCCTGTCGAGATGGATGTTAAAGATCCCATGGCACGATTCGAAAAGAGAAGGGAGTTTCTCATAGTATCTTTGCCATCACATCCCCCCACCAATAAAAAATGATCATTCACTTAATGGATGTTTGTGTGACTATCCTCCTTGGCGGGGAGGTAAGTGGGGTCTCCTTTGGAGCTGAATTGGCTCCAATGTGACATGCCTGGCAATGGAATGTCCGAATCGAGCCAGCCCTTGGTGGCAGTCTGATTCCTGAGCTAGGCAGGTACGCGATACTCCAGGGTACTGTTGATGACAGCACACCCAGCCTTGCTCATCGGCAGGACCTGGAAGGGCAGACCATTCATTGGGGGCAGGGAGTCATCCCACTCAGCTCCTGTTAACCCTGCAAGCCAAAGTCCTAATGGGTAGGATGGTCCTAGCTGGACAAGCAGCAGGAAAGCTTGCCAGACAGCAATATCAATGGTAAGCTACACGGTTTTAGATGGTTAGACTCCAGCAGTACCCCAACGCACACTTTGAGGTTCCCAAGCCTTGAATCTTGCCAACCTGCACCTAATACTTTCCAGAATGAGGTAAGCAGGATGCGTGGGGAGAGAGTGGGCATTCCATTACAACAATTTATCTCTGGGATTTCCACGTGTAGGTGGAAGGTATTGAAATCTCAGCTTGGTTTTGATACTCTTAAGCATAGTGATGGGTTTCCACTTGTGTCAGACACCCGGCTGATCAAAAAAAATTGTGGGACATCACTGTGCACATATTGGCTGGTGTATTCACCTACAAAATATAACTATTCCTGTTGACTTCCAGCCAAAGGAAACTGTTGGGGGGAAAAATCTTTTGCAAATGTTAATCGCAGAGAAGATTTCATTGAAAAGAGATAACACTAATACTGAGTGTCCTGCCAGGAGTCAGTGTCCCTTTGCATACCATATTGGTATTTCTTTCATTGCCATCTCCTTTGTGACTTCTTTGTGTAGCAATATTCTGGTGTTAGCCTGGCTCAGTTGATAGCATTCTTGCCTCTGAGTCAGTAGGTTTGTTGGTTCAGGCTCACATCAGGAACTTTGAACTCGTCTGAGCTGGCACAGAGGTAAAATGCTGGGGGAGCACTGCACTATCAAGGGTGCTGCCATTTGGATGAGATTTTAACCCAAGGTCTGTCTGTCTATTCAAATGAACTTTAAAAGATCCAATGGCACTAGTCAAAAAAAGGTGTGGTAGCCAACAAACCTCCAAATAAACTTGGTCATTCAATTCATGGCTATTTATGGGACATTGCTGTGCACAAATTGGGTGCCGGCATCTCCCATAAAACACAGTCACTACACTTTACAGCAAATCTGGTGGAGGACTTTGAGATGTCCTCCTGATGGTGAAAGTATATTAAATTTAATTAAATTAAATTAATGGGCTATTCCAGAAATTATATGCTTTGACTTGGTGAGCAATGAGTCAACTAACATTCCTCGATCTCTCTCAGCTTCACCCTTGGCAAGTTCAATTCCTCTACGTCGTACATATGTTATAATATAATAATTCCTGCATTTGATATTGCGCAGTCGTGGATTGAAAATGACCAATTTATTATTGTTTTGGAGGGATTATTATTAGGCTCTGTGTGGAGTAAGGAAACTTGCCCAAGGTTTCGCCCTGACCTGCCTGGAATTGAACCCAGGTCTCTCGCTTGCCAGGAGAGTGCTCTAACCACTGAGCTACAGGACTTGAGTTATTCTTTCTTCCTATATGTAGTACCTTGCATTTATCTGCCTGCCTGAGAATAATTATAGAACTTGCATCCATGTATTCCTCAGTATGGGTGCATTTAAATTATATTTACTGAGCTATTCCAGAAATGATATGTTTCCCATACATCTAAGTCTGTGGCAGACAGTGATTCACAATACTAAGCTCTCGATCTTTTCTTAAAAAAAGCAATAAAACAAATTTGCCAATGGATTTCCAGAGTGCAACTTCAGATTTTCAGTAATGTGCAAATTGTTCGGCATTTGCAAGGCCACTGCAATGGTCAGACATTTCCGCTACATATCGATTGTTTGCCCTCGGTCTCCAAAACTGTG